AACAACTACTTATAAACTGCTACGCGTCGCATACTATGTATAGAGAAATGCATTATAAATACTAACTTCATTTTAACAAGTTTTAATTACATTTTCTAAAATAGAGCTAAGAACTGTTTGTAATTTTGTATAAATTTAATTCGTTTGAAATTTTTATTCAAATACGCTGTTGAATATTACTAAGCGCCAATAGAATACAATAATTTTGTAATTTATAAATTAGTGTCTTCGATAATGAAAAATTCGTCATCGAACAGTCATATTATCATGTCGGTATTCGAAATGACTCGGTTCATTGTTATTACAAAAAATAGGTCATAATAACATGACTGAGTTTTTTTGTTTCAGAATATTCTAGATAAATATACAAAAAGCAAAGTTTAGACAATGTACCCTCATAAGCCTGGAAGTGGGTAGTCACATATAGTTAACGGCATTTTTCTCACAATGATGTTCTACCTCCATAAGCCTGGAAATGTCGTGGCGGGTCACATATAATCAATCCTTCTGACTTCATAAATTTTGTTAGAGAGTCGGCTGAATTAAGACGTTATATGATGAAAATTAATTAATTTCCTTCCGTGAAAATGCATCACATGTATAATAGAAATGAATCGCCCCTACAGTGAAAATGAAGGTCTAGTATCATTATTCGACAGTAAACATGAATCGCATAACGAAAACAGCATAGTGGAATTTAATTCAATATCAACAAGCTGAATAGCAAAACATGTTTTAAGTTATACAACATTAATAATTATGTTAAAAGGTACATTTTTCTGCAAATGAAACTTGACTGCTGCCTTTAAATACCTTGCACGCTCTGTTCGTGAACTATTCTTAATATTTATCTATTTGTGTATCAATTTTTACACCTGGATGGCTGTAGGCGCGATGAAAACCCGTCCGCATCTCATACCTATATCATGAATTTATAAAAACAGTACACATTATATCTTATTTCTTATTCTTTTCAAAAATCATGAATTTGTCGTCTGTTTATTTATCCTTCTACATTAGAAATTCATAACGGATACAGTGAAAATGGTATTTCAGGATTCGCACATTATATACACTGGTTTTGTTTATTTTATTGGACTTTCTTTTACTTCTTTTTCAACGACAACGCATGCAACTTCTTATTTCTTGTTTGAAAATTCTTCTCTTGGTCATAGATCTTCATGCAATATTTGCCACTGTACGTTCAGAAAACAGCAACCAATCAATCATATCTCCTCTAAAATTGCAGTACTATAATAACTTTAGACATTATCAAATAATTGTTAAAAAATTCGTTTAATCCTTTGATCAAATATAAACACATCTGGTCACTCTCCTATTATTTCAATTTCCGATACAAAGAAAAAAAGTATTATTGAATATTAAAGGAAGTAACCCATCAAAGATACAAGGCTTGTGTTTCGTCTACAAATGAAAAACATACGAATACACCCACTCACCTGATTCGCTCGTCCTCACAAATATAAAAATTCAAAATATAAAACCAATTATATACAAAATAAAGGATAAGGTCACCCCGTATGCCGCACAAATGCCAAGGCAACGAACGAGAACCCTGAAAGGACATACTTGGATTCCAAACCGATACCGCTAAATGCCCAGCTGTATTCCTGCTAGAGGAAAGCCGAAAATCCTACAATAAAGCATCTCGGAAAGAAACTACCGATTCATTAGGGGAACAATAGCTAAAACCCCCAGACATCAAATAGATTGGTCTGACAGTTTCCCACATGGAAACTACTAATGAATTCCATCTGACCACATGTCTCAAACAAACCTGAAAATATCTGCAGAAACTTTTCTCAACAAAAAAATAATAATCCAAAAACATAAAATATAAGATGTAAGGATAATAATATTTATCCATGAAACCAATTTGGCAAAACAATTTCAATGATGTTGAAGGATTCTCTCTGCAAACATTTTCACGTCCGCTCTCATCAGCATGCTCGACTCACTGATCTGTGAAAGAAGAGTGTGCCATATTCCGATGTAAATAAACTACGATTCACACCTCCTGTTTACAACAAGAGTTCCTTTTTACGATACACTTACGATGATACACAGTGCGTAACTTGTGATCAACTTAGTAGTCCTTTACGATGCCTTTGTGAAACACACGTAACGGGAACGTAGAACCACACGTAAACGGATCGTAAAATGATACGGTGATCGTAAGTTAAGAAGGCTTTGTGAAACGGTGGCCAGGTGTTTACGTTTGATGCCGGAAGCATACCTATGACGTCACCTAGTTTAGGCGCCAAAGAAGATAACATCATTTCGCGGAATTTTCGTTTAATTAAGATTTTACACTGAAAAAATGACTAAAATTCATTGATTTGTTTATTTTGCATTATAATAGAGATAACTGTATTCTATTTGAAGCTTTGCGGACGTCCATCGGTAGTTTTACTGTCACAAATATCCGTTTACCTGTCTCCGCTACGCGTCGCCAGGTAAACTAAATTTGCGACAGTAAAACTACCGATGCACGTCCGCAAAGCTTCGAATACAATACAATTATCTCAAAATTCTCTTGATGCATGTAATTGATTCAATGTCGATTATAAACGATATATGTATTCAAACTTTGAACCTACATATTAAAGTATTGAAAGAAAAAAAGGTTTTGAACTTACAAATACAAAGTAATAGAATCACACAATTACAATTCTGCAAAAATTGATGCCTGTGACATAATTATTTAATTGATTTTTTTCAAAGTATATTTTTTTGTGGACGTCGATTGCACCTTTCAGTAAATTTTACTTATTTGCACTGGAGACCACCTTTTTGCATGTTATGTGTCCGTTTTGTGTATCTATAAATATATTTAGCTCAGAGGAATGACGTGCATAATGACATATATAATAAAAATACGAATTGTTCAGTCTCTCAAAAAACGTATAATATAATATTCCGTCACTTTTCTTCGAAATAGTTGCAAATTTGGGTACTCGGTGCAATTCGGGCACTGTGACGCTATATAGATGATGAAATAGTACAGTTTTAATTCTAAATACGCTTAATTATATGCGAAGTTCGTTTTTTCAAAATTTCGAAATTCTGTACTATCAATAGTACCTGTTCAGTGAGTACTTTTAAGGTACTTTGTATTCATAATTAGATATATTTTCGATACGTTGTTAAAGATGGAGGTTTGCATCTAAATGAACTGGAGTTTTTCAGCTTAAAATGTGTTTTATTCATGTCATTTCGCATTTGTAAATTGCATATGTTTAATTACATAGTTGTAGTTTGTTAACTTTTTCTTTGGTTATATTTTGTAGATAACCACTCAAGTAGGTGGCTTACAATGAAGTTCGTTATTCATTGAGTCAGAAGATTTACAAAGAAGTAACATATTCTTTGGATCTTCAGTAGGAGATTTACAAGAAAGTATCATATTGATTTCTTGAGTTTCCTCAGACTTACACAAAAGTATATCAGTTTGTGGGTCTGATTGATTACTATTCTATAATATTGCTTTATCTTTTTTGTTTTGTGTTTTGCGGGCTTGTTTGGCGGGTTATTTTTGTAGGGTCCGCAATGTTGTATACTCTATTTCATGTATATGTATATTATTTGTTAACTGAACTTGTACAATAACTTTCGGCCAAAATAAAAGTATTATTTATCTTGTTTTCTATTCTGAGCCAGAGATAATTGTACTGTTTTTAATTCTAAAAACGCATAACTATATGCGAAATTCATTTCTTTCAACATTTCGAAATTCTGTACTATCAATAGTACCTGTTCAGTGAGTACTTTTAAGGTACTTTGTATTCGTAATTAGATATATTTTCGATAAGTTACCCTCCCGCCCATCCCTAATTTTGAATTATTGTACTAGTGAGTTATTTTTATTATTTTTTGTTTACATATTTAACTAATGCGGGTTATTTTTGTAGGGCCCGTAATGTTGTATACTCTATTTCATGTATATGTATATTATTTGTTAAATGAACTTGTACAATAATTTTCGGCCAAAATAAAAGTATTATATATCTTGTTTTCTATTCTGAGCCAGAGATAATTTAAATTGTACAAAACAAAAACAATTTCGACTTTGAACCCTGAATAACTTTACAATCTTTTTTAATCGTCAAAATGACCATTAGATAGAGGTCAGCAGTTTTGAAAATCACGATTTCTAAAAAAATATTTGTAAGTCTCGGGAGGTTTGGCTAGCCACAAAACCAGGTTCAACCTATCATTTTTTCTTAAAATGTCCTGTATTATTAAGTTATTTTATAGTTCGTTTCTGTGTGTGTTACATTTTAATGTTGTGTTTTTGTTGTGTCGTTGTTCACCTCTTATATTTGATGCGTTTCCCTCAGTTTTAGTTTGTAACCCAGATTTGTTTTTATCTCTATCGATTTATGAGTTTCGAACAGCGGTATACTACAGTTGCCTTTATTTACTGTACTAAGTCAGGAAAATGGCCATTGTTATATTATAGTTCCTTTCTGTGTGTGTTACATTTTAATGTTGTGTTTCTGTTGTGTCGTAGTTTTCCTCTTATATTTGATGTGTTTCCCTCAGTTTTAGTTTGTAACCCGGATTTGTTTTTTTCTCAATCGATTTATGAATTTCGAACAGCGGTATACTACTGTTGCCTTTATTCATTTATTTATCATAACATCTACGTCGAAAACGAAACGTTTATAAAAGAAAATGTTACACGTTTGTACATGGTTAATTTATGTATAACACGGATGGATGGATTAACATCGGTGATATATATATTCAATTAACTTTCATAGGTATAAATAAGGATTTTGTACTTACCATTAATTTTATTTTCCTTTGGAAAAAAATCAGTTTACTGTGATGCATTTTGTACTTAAATTTAATTCAAATCTATTGTAAGCACAAGAGGCTCAATAAAGCATGATATTATTTAACTATCACAATATAAGAAGACTTAGGTTTAAGTTAAACCCGTGATGATCCTTTAGACTATCTATTATATAAAAGATACCCAGTCTTCCGAATTCATTATAACGAAAAATTTCTTTCAAAATGGAACTGTTCAAGTTCCTTTTCTGTATTGTTTTAATTGCTGTCTGTGCAGCACACTGTCCGGAATCGGATACAAACTTACTTAAATGGAGCGATCATGCTGGAACGTGGAGCGGTTTGGTAAATATTGTTATAATTTAGAATAAATTTTTTTTTTGCTATTTACATTTAAATGAACATTATAATAATTGTCCATTTTTATTTAGATTTTTTTAATATTTTTTCGCTTTGATTCAGTTTGGCGCGGAACATTATCGTCCATGTATGTAAATATAAATATACATGTATAGACAATAACAGTGTATTGACTTCTTAAGGACAAGGCTTAGAAACGGGGAAATGCGAGACTGCCAGGGGCGGATTCAGGCGGGGGCGTGGCAGCGTGCGCCCCCCCCTGAAATTTGCAAAACATGGGTTTTTCAAGTTTGCGCCCCTAACCTAAAATCCTGGATCCACCCCTGACTGCCGAACATTTTCTGCGTTTCTTGCAGATTCGTTATAACGTTAGTACGTGAAATCAATACACTATTGTTGTCTTTAAAATGCAACATAAACGATTTTATACCAATTCACCTTAGAAAAGGCCTCCTACTTTGCCGGATTAAATTTGTTATGTTTCAAAATTGCCAACTGGAAAATTTTCGTTGTGCGCTTGTAAAAATACAGAATAAAAGTGACATGCCATTTTGTACATATACCAAATGGAAACGTTGTTCAAAACAATACGGTTAAATATTTCATTTGGTGGCAAATAAAGCCAAGATAGAAATTGAAGATTTGTGTTTGTGCAGAAATCACACAGACTTTATTACAGATATTTTCGTTATAAAATTGTAAACATGACGTGCTAGCGTCTATTGTCTACAAAAAGTCCTAAACAACTTTTACAATCCGAAACACCTCGTACTGAGTCACTAAAGTCGAGCGCACACTAGAAGGTGTACTTGAATGAGTCCATTTTTTACCGGATTTACAATTAAAGTAAAAATCGGTTATTGATTTGGGGATGTACGGCGGGTGGAGCATCCGGGGGGTGGGGGTGGGCATTCGAGCGGCTGCCAAACAGTGTCCGTGCATTAACCCATGAACCGTTCAACCAAAGCTTTTCAGATTTTAATATGTTGTAACTGTTGATATAATGGAGGTCAAGTTCAATATTGACGATATTCACTATCACCGTTCAGGAGTTATGGTTCTTGAAAGATTGAAAAATTGTGTTTCCAGTTGTGTCCGTGCTGTAACCTATGAACCGTTTAACCAAAGCTTTTCAAATTTTAATATGTTGTTACTGATGAAAAAATGGAGGTCAAGTTTGATATTGACGATTTTCACTTTCACTGTTCAGGAGTTATGGTCCTTTTGATATTGAAGAATGCAAGGACACAAATAAAATGTTAAAAATCCGGTTTGCTGTCACTCTGACAGCCTCCTGTTATACTTGTTTTAACCAATAACTTTATCTATTTACTTATCTTAAGGAAATATTTCTAGCACTGCATGCAATAATTCTCTATCTATTAAGCATAGGGTTGTCAATTATAGGAGTTACGATTTTTTTTTATAAAATTTCCAGATGTTTGGCATTGGAACAACAAAAGGGAACATTATTCTTAACTTCGTCGTTAGATTAGTAGCTAATGTTTTTTTAAACTATCTAAACTACAGATTCTTTAAGCTATATATATTAACATACAGACATTTTATGGGTTGGTCAAAAGTTCAGAAATAATACGTACTGTAAATTCAGGAATTTTTGCGATTTTTTGTTTCATTAATGTGAAAATTGCGACGAAATAGGTGTCGCAAAAATACAAAAACTCACATTTTATTACTTGATAATTGTATGCAGCATTTACTAAAAATAATTATTTTTTTGTCCAGTCTACAAAAATTGCAATAACGTTTGCACACAATTAATTCTGAATTGACAGAAATTAACACGAAAATACGACCCAGAAGCTGTAACAGTAGTACAGTTAATTTTAGTATACTAATGATTGAAAAAAAATGACAATGGTCGTGTTGTAAAATGAATTGAGGAGAAATTGGTCTGACCTCTTTTCCTACAAATTCTTTTAAATATGTAAGGGATTACACGAGTTGAGTCACTTAATTGTGATCATTAAAAACATTAGAAATTTGCCTATTTTCGAATTTTCACTGATGACATATTAAAAAAATTGTAATTTCCAAATTTCCGTATAATCATTCTAGGAATTACTAAGTTTACGTTTTAAACTTATGTATAGTATAGTTCTTCATTATCAGATTAACAAACGTCTAGATGATCTCATGGTTGCGTGCTCGCCATGAGTGTGGGAGATCTTGGATTCGATCCTCGGCCTGGTCGCATCGAAGACTTGAAACTGGTATTTGCTTCTTCTCCGTGAATCACACTCGACATTTAGAAGTAAAATGCTAAGACTGGTCGGCTCTTAGGCAGAATAGTGTTCCTTTGGACTGTGAACCTTGTGAACTACCACGTTGAAAAATCTGACTCGTCGTGTTGGTCTAGTACAAATAAAATGGAATAGAAAGGAACAAGTTTATGGAAATTGTATATATCTAATTTGATTGAAAACAGGCACATAAACCGCCTTTGATAACACAATAACATTTTTACAGTGAAAGTCTTATAACTTAACATTTGTTTTCTTTTCGATAAATATTTGATAATGAAATTAAATTTCATTTTAGTCATTTTAAAGTGGTTTAATAAAACACTAATGCGATATTATTCGAACGATTTAAATCTTTTATTACCCATTTGACCGTCAGCTATTAGATTATATTTATTTGTCTTTCTTAAATTGAATGACCACTTCGATAACTTTACAAAACGGACTTTGCGATCCATCCTAAATTTTTTGTTGGGTTCCAGGCTCCAATTTACAGACTCCGGGCTCCTTTCAGCAATGTTTTGGTGCTCCGTGCTCCTTTCGGCAATGTTTTTGAGCTCCGTGCTCCTTTCAGCAATGTTTTGGACCTCCGTGCTTCACTGATACCGGTATGACATCGAGCTGTTCTACTAGAGCCCCAAGCTCCAATGATAGAGCTCCGAGCTCCGTCGGTAGGAATTCGGATAACAGATACGTGTTTGATCCCAATAACATAATTACTCCTTTTCTTTGTTCGTGTTATTTTGATAGTCGTCATAAGATATATTGAGACCATATTCAGGAAATATTTCTTGAAGTATTTATTATATAAAGTTTTCGGTTTAAAGTGTTCCTTCAGTTTGTTTACAAGAAAAGCAATCAATTCTTAGTGTATACAAAGCGTTTAAAAATTACATCTGATTTCGATTCAGCACGTGCAGGTTTATTCTTTCGCCTGATCAAGTTTCTATGATCTTTAATTGCTTGACTCACGTTTCAGTACATTTACTACTGTTTGGGATATATATATTTATATGTATACATTGTCATTTTGTTTATTTTCTTTGGTTACATCTTCTGACATCAGACTCGGACTTCTCTTGAACTGAATTTTAATGTGCGTATTGTTATGCGTTTACTTTTCTACATTGGCTAGAGGTATAGGGGGAGGGTTGAGATCTCATAAACATGTTTAACCCCGCCGCATTTTTGCGCCTGTCCCAAGTCAGGAGCCTCTAGCCTTTGTTAGTCTTGTATAATTTTTAATTTTAGTTTCTTGTGTACAATTTGGAGTTTAGTATGGCGTTCATTATCAATGAACTAGTATATATATTTGTTTAGGGGCCAGCTGAAGGACGCCTCCGGGTGCGGGAATTTCTCGCTGCATTGAAGACCTGTTGGTGACCTTCTGCTGTTGTCTGTTCTATGGTCGGGTTGTTGTTTCTTTGACACATTCTCCATTTCCATTCTCAATTTTATGAAAGTCTTGATGCATAGGCGGATCCAGGGGGGGGAGGGCCCGCCCCCCCTTTCGTGGGAAAAATTTGGTTGATTATATAGGGAATCACTGAAGCATGACTAGAGCCCCCACACCCCCCCCCACCTTTATGAAAACTTCTGGATGCGCCACTGTAGATGGGTGTCTTCATTTCAGTATTCTTTAAATCATTAGGTCATTTTTTGCCATTATTCATATTTTTGCTATTCCATATATTTTTGGCCCATTTTCCTCCATTCCATATTTTTTTGGGCCCATTTTTCTGGGTCATCCATGGCTCTTTAGCCTCCTTTCTATAAACCTCACTCATGTTAAATATTTATTTTTTTTTTGTAGCCACCTGCTGAAAATGACAACCTGACAATCACACAACCAATACTATTAGACGAACAACCACCAACATTATACTCCATAGTCATCACAGATACTGGTAAATTAGTGTGGGACCCAAACACTGTGGTCCACCTGAAGGTACATTGGGTACAAGTAGACGGAGAGCTACATATCGGAGCAGAGGATTGTCCATTTCAGACAAACACTCACATCACGTTTCTAGGTAAGCAAACAATGGGTTGGGTTGGGAGGTATTCAAGTCGCTACACGTACACATTAATATACAATATATGTACATTGTCAGAAAATATAAAAATATATTTATATGAGTTTTAGAAACAATACGAAAAGCGAGGCTCGTCGAGCTTTTCTCCTGTTTCGTAGCGAGTAATTGTTTCTAATTTTTCAAAGAAATCGATAAAATGTGAAAGCGGACCGCGACGAAGACCCCAAAATGAACAGTTACGCAAAAATAAAAATCCACATTACCGCTTGCTCAACATGGAAGCAGGTAACAGGAGACTTTATTTGTACAAGTACAAATAAAGCAAAATTTTATTTGTGTACCTGTTATTTGTACAATAGTTGGCTGATTGCAGAATAAAATAGTATTTCAGTCACTGCACAAGCAGTTCTAAGATGTAGGTTCTCTCCCATGCAACATACTGGTACATGAATCACCCTTGTTGTTAGAGCCAAACAGACAAAGGACAGAAAACCAGTATATCCCAAGATATAGAACAGTGTTATTATTGCTATTCTTCATTTTGAAAACAATTGAAAAGCACTTGGACGATGCCTTAACGACCTCTTACTCCAAAGAGAACGACCAAGAACCATCTAAATTAGCTCTCTTAAATATTCACTTTTAACCGATAAATAAACCTTTTAGCCAAAATAATAAGTTTCATCATGTTTTATAACGGCTAAAAGGTTTTATTTACCTGCTTGAAGTATACTGATTGAAATGTTAAAAAGACCGTTATATTCTCTAAATTACCTTTAAGGATAAATAATAAACATATCCTTTTAAGAAGTTGTCTTTGATGTTAATGATGACATGGGTGTGTATTTATGAGAGTATATAATGTACTTTAATTAAACTTATATTTTATATTTTATGTACGCTTTACTTTATTTTATGGACCCCCAGGAAGATGAATGTTGATTATTGAGTTCGTTCTCTTGAAATAAATGGTATTTATCTACTTAGTATATTTGTTTTGGCCTTGGTGTCTGGATGGTTTAAGTACTTCATCTAATGTATCACTAGCCTGTCAACACTGAGGTTGTGAGAAACCCGCTCGTGACAGGTGCGTTCGACTCCTATCTTAATCAACTAGGTTTGCCAGTTTTCCTACCAAAGGTCAGTGGTTCTCTCCGGGCAATTGGGCTTCCTACACTAATAAAAAACTTGTTGCCGCGATATAGCCATGAGTGCTGAAAGTGGCATAAAACACCAACAATCAATCGATCATTTTTCAGTGAGATCAAGGCTTGCATTGAAAGTAATACTGTAACCTATAATTGCTTATTGTATCTACATTGTGTCTTGTTGTGGGGTTGTGTCATTGACACTCATACTACATCTGCGGATTTTTATATTGAGGCAGTTTTGAATGAAAAAAGATAATGATTTCCAATATTGAAAATGTTTTTTTTTTTTTCAATTTAGTTGTTTTTATCAATTTAGTTGATACGAAAGAAACTAATTCTTCAATTATATGTCATAAATGTTTCTTGCTGCTTCTTTGTTAAAGTAAGAGTAATGATAAATGCCAAAAAACAAAGCAATTTAATACCAATAATATTTATTTTAAACAAACATGGCAAGTTATTTAAGAGAAAATACAAAAGCTGATGTACTATAAAATATTAAAGTTTCATATAACATTTTAAATTTTGAAATCTCATATGAATCATTCAGACACATGTCAATTATGCAAAGAAATTACTTAAACAATTTTAGATTTTGAAACTTGAACTTAATTGGGGAAAAGTGTCTAAAAAAGAAATTGGCTTAAAGATTGAATTTAAACTGGTTAAGAAATTCATTTTCTCTGACAGATAAACTTTATATTTAGCAATGAATTCTTGTTCTAATAATCTAATGTCCAGTTAGAAAAATTACTGCTCTAAAAATATTTTATAAGATAGAGCGGGATTCTGTTTAAGAAGTTCCAATCAAAGTTTACATAGAAAACATGCATTAAAAAATGAAAAAAACAAAGAAGTTCATAAAAATATATCTATACATATATACACATGTCTAAAAAGTAATTACTATGATCAAGTACAACAAATTTAAACACACATACATTCTCCCCAAGCATACATCTTAAAATCACACATTTACTATTTAGACTTAAATTATTTTTATTTACATGTAAACCCAAATTAATATATAAGAAAACCAATGCAAATTGATTAAAATCTTCATACAAGGGAAAAAAAACATAATAAAGTTATGAGTTGTTGAGTAAATAAGTATAGTTTTTCTTTAACATGTCTACTTTGAACAATAACCGATTTGTTTTTGCAACGCAACATCTACAACACAAAGATCCAAAACATCGTAGCTGTTATATAAGACATCATAGAAAGTTTCGTTTACACAATTATGAAAACAGTTGACCAGGAGTTTTTAATTAATTAGATAATGCGTTCACAACGGTACATTGTCAGAGCTCTGCTGCATTGTGGTCCAATTCAGTGTATATAAAGTGCGAATCCACTTAGTTCATTTTTACTGTCGTATGCGAGTATGTCTATTGTAGATAAAGGATGATGGGAAAAACTGCGTTTGTTTACTTTTTGAAAATAAAAAATAATTGATTTGAATGTATGTTTTAACACTATTTCATTAGAATATAACTTTTTAATGTATAAAAACAGGATTAATTAAAAAAAAAGTCTAATTAAAGCAGCTGAATCCATAATATTGATTACTGAAAGCGATTCATTTTAACTATAAATGCGATCATTTCTGATGTGGAATTTTTGGAGGTGCGATGAATTTTCATTGTTGTTTTATATGATAATTCGACTTACAAAAACTAAAAAATAGTCTTTTAATGACTTTAATATTGATTATATTTTCAATTTGAAATGCAAGCTAGTCGTAGATATTTACTTGAATATACACGGGTATAACCAACGTATGGTTGATTCCGGACGTTGTGCGTTGTGTACCGTTCGTCGATTTTTTTCTGTACGTTCGTTGCGTGTTTTCGACATAGTTCTGTGCCGTTCGTTAGTAAAACAACGAGAACATAATTAGCTGTTTCTATTGAAATACCTATCTTTTATTTTTTGTTAGCAAGCATTTGCAACTACTAAAACTATTTGACATATCTTACATTTCATATTGAAGATTAAAACGACCTGAATTTTGTATTGGTTTGACGTGATCTTACTAGAGCTAAAGAAGCTCACTTATCGGGAGCGCCTGATTGCAATTCAGTTTCTTTTCTTAGAAATCCAGTATTTTGGTCTTGAGGTCAAAGGCCAAGCTCACACGAAGGTCAGGGTGATATGCGTCACATCGCCTTAAGGTGATACACGTTCATATCATGCATATTCCAATATTTTTGGTGAGTTTGCTATTAGTGTGTCATGGTTTCGAAAATATTCTGGAGTAGAACATCTATGAATATAACGTATTTTTATGGCGAATTTTCCTTGAAAAGTTTTAGTATGCGCTTAAAAAAGCTTTCAAAATTTGTCCCGACGTACCATACATATTTCTACCATATTGATAGGCTTTTGTACAACGAACAGTACAAGAATGTACAACGAACGGTGAATGAATCGTACAGTGCCAAAATTCTGAGATAAGTTTTTCAAGTAAATGTCTGCAAATAAAATAAAACAACGGGTTTCTCATTCGCATTATGTATATCAAACAACAACAAATCACAAAATACACGGTCGCATTTAGTGTAAGAGCCAACCATCTATGTTCTATTTGTAGTTTAATCAAGTTTGAGTTACACAGAGTTCTTGTTTCGCGATGTTTACAAGTAGTTCACAGATCTGTCTATTTAAAATAGTCACAGGGTGTTCATGTAATATAAATAATATACTATATAAAAAAAATGCTGTCAGGAGCAGTAAACTTTGTTTTCATTAACATTGAATACTTAACTGAACAGTACGTCAATTAGTCTTTGGTGAAAATATTCATATCCAACTAAGTCAGACATCACGTGACTTTTGTGACGTATACTAGCCGCCATTTTGTATTATATTGCCCCATATAAAATGCATAGGTGCTTCAATAAAGTTGAGTTTTCTCATGAACCTGACCCGTTTTCTAACTTTTGCAAATCAATCCTTGATATTCAAACATATTTCTATCAAACAATGTTGGTCCTAACAGTTTAATTTTTGATTAAATTCTGTCACTGGAGAATCGTAAAAACATGAACTTTTTCCCGTTATTTCTCCGTTGACTCAATGCTAAATTACCGATACCCATGTCTACTTGTATAACAAATAAAGAAATTCCGTTAATAAAAATAAAACTTTGCAACTCGATTAAGTATATTCAAACATATATCTGGCGAAAAATACTATTTAAAACAGTTTAATTTCTGGGCAATTTCGGTCAAAAATCGATTTAAAAAAGTGAATATTTCGGGATTTTTCAAAATGGCGGATGATGTATATGGAAATGTTGCATCAAATCGAGGATTTGTATAGTAAGACTTTCCTTGATTTAATTTAATTTTCATGTAGAATCTCTGATGTTTCTGTTATTTTCTTTGGTGATATTTCGATATGATTGATTTCAAAATTTATTGATTAAAAAAATATAATTTTAAGTGTGACACGGGAAAATTTTATTTTGACAGATATCCAGGATATACTGTTACCAGAAAATAGTTAACAATAAAATTTATAATAAAATTTTTTCTCTTCTTTTTTTCCTGTTTTCTGTATAATTTATCTTTCTTTAGAAATATATTTATACATTCCTTTTAGAACAAAAAAATATTTACCTCCCAAGAGAGAAAAAAATCCCAACAATTATTATAGATAAATATTCCATACCTTCAAAATCTCATCACTTGACGAACAGGTGAACTCTGACTTTGGATGTAATGTTACATAACAATATATTGTCAGGTAGACGTGCAAACCAAAAGCAACCAGGTGACATTAAACATCCTGTGTATACATGTATTACCAGAGTTTAAATTTTGTGATATACAAAAGTTT